CGTGGGTGGGAGAGATTTGTCTGGACTGCTGGATAAGGCAGGACCTAGAAATTTCCGGCTACATTTTACTATGTAGCTCTGTCTGGTGTGGAACTCTCTGTGTAGTCCAAGCTGGGCTGGAACTCATCCTCCTGCCCCTGCCTCCATACCCAGCTCAGGGGGACTCTGAGATCACTCCCAAGCCTCCTGTTAACCTTTTGTTGTCCATGCTTGAGCGGTGACCAGAAACTTGCTGCCTTATTAGGATATTGCAGATTCCTAGAATATTCTCTTTTATGTCAAGACAAATTTTGCCTCTCAGAGTTCTGTTTTATAATGTGTCTGATTTTGAATGTTTAATTTTTAAACACTCAGTAGATGATGCCCTTAAAGGTAGTGTCTAGAAATGAGCTCCTGGTACACGTAGGGGGAGAGAAGGTGGAGATCTTAGTTGGTGGACTATCCTTCCATAGGACAGGACACCAAGAAGGAGATGGAGCTGATCTTCCCCATGTATATGGGGTACCAAGAACTGTCAAATTTGAGGAGACATAAAGAATAGTGGTTGCCAGGGATTAGAGGAGAATTGATGTTTAATAGGAACAGAGTCTCAGTTGGGGAGATGGAGTTCTGAAGATGGAGGCCGCGATGGACACACAGCTTTGGCAATGTGTTTTGAGGGGAGTGGGTTTGTTGTCAGGGGTTGAAGCCAGCGGCTTCACAGTGAAGCCCCTTCTGTTGCTGAGTGTGACTTCTGCCCTAGTGTGGATGTACTTAATGACACTAATGTGTATGCTCAAACATGGGGAAGATGGTAAGTTTTATTCTGTTATCACCCCAAGTTAATTATAAAGAGGAACAGTCTTGGTGATTTACAGCTCTCCCAGTAGGTGAACCATTTTCCAAGTTCTGCTTGGCCACTTTGTTCCCTCAGTCTGGACACAGGCCACCAGGCCTTGCTGTGGGGGACCCACAGGAAGCCAGAGACCTGGGTCACTGGTGTGAGGCTGAGCAGAATGAGGCAGTCCAGACTCTCAGAGCTGTTCTTCAGCCACTCCTCCTGCCCTCATTTGCCCTCAGCTGTTCTCACACTCCTCCAGGGAAGTGACAGTCACCTCTCCTGGACCGCAATGACTCCTGTGACCTCCTCTCTTATCATCCACCCAGTCTCTTCCTGACAACCAATTTGATCTTTTTAATTGACATATTGAACTGTACCACCTTCTTGTCTTCCCAAAACATAAAATAGAACAAATTCATGAAAAAGATGAATTCTTTTAGAATTTTGTCTAAGTCAGGGTTTCTATTGCTGTGAAGAGACACCATGACCACGACAACTCTTATAAAGGAAAACATTTCACTGAGGTGACGGCTTACAGATCAGAGGTTCAGTCCATTATCACCATGGCAGGCAGACATGGTGCTGGAGAAGGAGCTGAGAGTCTTACCTACATCTTGCAGTCAACAGGACATGGTCTGTGACACTGGGTGGTATCTGGAGCATAGGAAACCTCAAAGTCCACCTCTGTGGTGACTCACTTCCTCCAACAAGGCCATAACTACTCCAACAAAGTCAGACTTCCTAATAGTGTCACTCCCTATGAGCTTATGGGGGCCAGTTACCTTCTAATCACACCTGCTCTTCTTTGAAAGTCCTTTACTGCTTCCTGTCAGTGCTCAGGTAGAACCCAAGCTCTTTGGTGCACCTGACTCCTTAAGGTCTGGTGCCTACTCCTCTCTTCAACCTTGCTGTTTCTCATTTCCCCTTACCACCTAGCTCCAGCCATGCTCACCATCCCAGCGTGGGGCTTGCTCTCCTTGGAGACGCTCTGGACTGGATTTTTCCTTTGGGTCCCTGAATGTCTGCCCCTTTCTGATCATACAAAAACTGTTCCCTCCTCAAACAAGCCACAGCTCTAGGGCCACACAACGCTGGTACCTTGTTTGTATTTTGTTCCCAGTAGACCTTTATTGACACACTAATTATTTACCTCTTACAGCCAGAATGTGAGAGCCATGAGAGTTGGGGACTTTGTTTTGCCACTGACCTGTGACCAGGGCCCAGGTCAGTGCACGGCACATAGAAGATCAGTGCATGGCACATAGAAGGCATGAATTAGAAGGCATGAATATAGTATTGACTGAGCGAATGAGTGGCCACACAAAGAAACCTATCAGTAGAAGGAGGCAGTATGTGAGAGGCTGCCCAGAACTGACTGGAGCAGGTATTCCCGGTGCTCCAGTCCTTGTCTTGGTCACTGCGAGATCTCCCTGATCCTGCTATCCAGGCACTGTCCCCTCCCCCAAAGCCCATCCCCACAGCTTGCCTGCTGCCCTGCTTGGGCCCTGGGGCCATGTGCCCTCTTCTGGGCTGTGGTGATATTGTATTCCCCAATATATCGTGCACCCTAATAAATTTATCTGGGGTCAGAGAACAGAACAGCCACTAGACAGACATAGAGGCCAGAAAATTGTGGCACTCACACCTTTAATCCTAGCATTCCAGAGGCAGAGATCCGTCTGGATCTCTGTGAGTTCAAGGCCACACTGGAAACAGCCAGATGTGGTAACAAGAGCCTTTAATCCCAGGAAGTGATGGCAGGAAGCAGAAAGGTATAAAAGGCGTGAAAACCAGGAACTAGCCTGGTTAAACTTTTAGGCTTTTAGCATCAGTTCAGCTGAGATCCATTTGGGTGAGGACTCAGAGGCTTTCAGTCTGAGGAAACAGGATCAACTGAGGAATTGGGGAGGTGAGGCAGGTGTGGTTTGTGTTCTGTCTCTCTGATCTTCCAGCATTCACCCCAATACCAGGCCCTGGGTTTGTTTTTATTAATAAAAACTTTAAAGATTCATGCTACACTGGGCTGCATTGTGAGGTGTCTTAGGTCCTTTGTGTAGAGCATACTTCTCCTGCTGAGTTATCTGGCATGCCCATGAAAACTGAGGACTCCCGTGTACCAGGTGCCATGCTGAGCCATATTTCTGCATTATATCACTTGATTCCTGTAATTCCCCTATGGATAGGGTCTTTCCATCCTCCCCCTGGGAGCTGCAGCCCAGCAAGTCACATGACTTTCCAGAGCCTGCCAGACACAAGCCCCCAGGGCGCTGCTGGCTCCTGCAGAGTGTTTGTGCTTAGAGGGACTGAGGATGCCTGAAGCCAGGCAGCTGTGTTGAGAGAAGCACAATCAGGTGGAGAAGGGGGAGGGACCGGTTTATGAAGTGAACAGCACTTTCAGGTTAGGAACAGTGAGAAACAGTGAGAGACTGTGTCTTTGGGGGATGCCTGGGGCATTGGAGGAACATGTGTGCTCAGAGGAACTGAGGGAGCAGGCAGCTGCACTGGAGCAGCAGAGGCCGGGGTCAGGTGGAGATGAGGCAGGATGGTCTGTAAAAACATAATGCACTTATCTATTTGTTTGTTTATTTGCTGTTAACATTGAGAAGCCATGAGCCGGTGGGTGCCTTCAGGGGGTGCCTGGAAAGAGCTCAAGGATCATGTGTTTCAGCTCTGACTCCCAACTGTGGGTTCTCCTGGCCATGGGCTCAGTGTGGATTACTTAACCTCTGAACTCTAGTTCCTTCAGTTATAAACAGGGCCACCAGAGCCTGTCTCAGCAGTTATGGTGTGCACAGCTGAGCAATGAACATGGCACTTGCCACATTCTATATACTCAGTAAGTGTTGTGGTCTAAATGTGGAAGGCCCCACCCTAGGCTTACAGGTTTGAACAGTTGAAAGGTCTCCAGGCGGTGGTGCTGTTTTCGAGGGTTGTGGAACCTTTAGGTTATGGAACCCTTAGGAGGCTCAAGAGATTCCTGCTAGATGTGTTCCAGGCAGCCACACTGGAGGCTTTTTTCCGCAGCCATCCTCCAGGATTGTAAGTTTACGCTCATTATTTGTGGTGTGGATATTTAAGTTTTAAAAAACATTTTAAAATTTTATGTGTATGAGGAGTGTTTTCCCTCTATATATGTCTTTATATCACATGCGTGCCTGCTGCCTGCAGAGGCCAGAAGAGGGTGTCAGATCCCCTGGTACTGGAGTTATAGTTGTGACCCAGTTTGCGGGTTCTGGAATTCGAACTCTGATCCTCTGCAAGAACAGTCAGTGCTCATGACTGCTGAGCCGTCCTTCCAGCCCCTGTGGTGTGGAAATTTGCTTATGTGAAATTTTCCTTCAATATAATTTTAGAAAGTACCCAGTGTCAATGTCAAATGAAATGAAATGAGTCAGTGTCCCTACAGGCAGACCTCCCTTCCCAGCACTTCAAATCTTTTGATATTGTGGCATGACACTGTCTTTGTCATTGTTCATTCTCAGCAACTACACCAAGTTACAAAAACAAAAACAAAACCCTCATAATGTTTTAGGTACGATTACAACTTTGTGCCCGGGCCATGTCGGTAGCTATTCTTGGTCCCGTGTGGACTGTGCAGCTGAGTGGTGTGGGGAAGGCTTTGTCCAGGGCTCAAGAGGCCTCAGCACAGGAAGGTGCCCTCCTTCTATAGTCTGTGCTCAAGGCAGAACAACTCAAGGCAAGGACAGGGTGCTTGCAGGTGGAGCGTGGCAGGAAACACAAGGATCGGGCTCAGAAGACCGCAGTAACCCACCCTTCTCCCTTCCACTGTGTGGCTCTGGGCTTTCAAACACATTTCATTTAGTTTTGGGTAGATGAACTAGTAACTAGTGTTATCAAAGGACCTTCGTACCACAGTGTAGAGGGTACATGGGCATTCATCACTTGGGCTTTATTCTCAAGAGAGCTCAGGTTTGCAGGCACCCATGCATTGGAACCATGTGGCTTAAGAAAATTTCTGGGCCTGTTCCCAGAGCTGCTGAACGGGACATTGGCGGTATGGCCCAAGCCTCTGCGGCAGCTTGCTGCTGCTACTGCAGGGCCACACTTCAAGTACCCCAGGGTAGTTACACTTCCACAGTGCTTGGAATGTAAATTATCAAGTCTACCATTGCTGTAAACATGTTTTATTCATAACGCTTGTTTTGTCTCTTTTAATCAGGTATTTTGATGTTGGACTACACAATTTCTTAATCAGGTAAGCCAGTGCCTTTTGTTTTAATTCTTACTGAATAGTGTATCTATTATGGAAGGGTGCAAAGGGGGAAACCTTAGCAAATGAATTAGTAGTTGAGTTACTTGGCAGGAAAACATTGCTAGCACTATGTGTGTGTTCGCCACAATCTCACATGAATAATCACTCAGATCTGTTTATATCGGAAGTGATAGTTAACTGCCTTATGTTGCTGTGATAAAACACTGACCAAAAGCAACTCGGGAAGGAAAGGTTTATTTAAGCTGCAGTCCCACCTTAAAGGAAGCTAAGACAGGAGCCGGAGCAGAGACCACGAGGAACATGGCTTACTGGCTGCTTCTTCTGGCTTGTTCATTTAGTTTTCTTATACAGCCCAGGCTGATCTGTCAAGGGATGGTACTGCCCATTATAGGCTAAGTACTCCTAAAGCAATAAACAATCAAGAAAATGTTCTATAGACATGCCCAAGGCTGATCTGATGAGTCTTCTCAAGGGTATCAAGTTGACGGCCAGAATTGGCCATCACATTTACCAAAGTCTTACTTCCATCCACTGGGCCACTGGAAAGATAAATGAAAAATGAGCTTTATTGGCTCATGTCAGACATTCAGTAGTCCATTTGACCAGTTCTCTCCCGTTGAGTTTAATCTTTCAAAACAAAATCTATCACCTGTTTTACAGTCATGGAGATATGATCTGTGACCTAGTGCAGATATAGACCTATAATTGAGATTATAGACAGTAGTTTATAACTTAGTTTATTGGTGATTTTTACCAGAGTTGTGTTATGGAGCAGATTAATTTCACATAGCTATGAAATTAAACAAGTTAGGTGGAAATAAATACACCAGAATATTGACAGTGCTTATAAAATGTATATGATTTTGAAAATCAACTTTGTGGGCTAGAGAGATGGCTCAGTGCTTTAGAACACTTGTTGCTCTTGCAAGAAGTCCTGGGTTTGATTCCCAGCACCTACCTGGTAGCTCACAACCATCTGTAACTTCAATCCCAAGGGACCCAATGCCCTCCTCTGGCTTCTGTGGGCACCAGGCACACACATGGTGTACATACATACAGACATGCAGGCAAAATACTCATATGTATAAAATAGTGAATCTTAAAAAAAACCAACTTTTCTGTGTTTTCTAAAATTTTTGTAGTGATCACCATTCTTCTACTAATGCTAAAAAACAACTGAAATGCCCGTCAAAATGTGTGAGGGAAGAATGGTTGTGGAGAGAGTCGCTGTAGATGAAAGATTGTGAGGGGACCAACCGTCAACTGGAGAGTTTTGCTAAACTCCAGTCATAGTGGCTTTGCATGTCGTGTGGTGGTTCAGCTTGCCACAGTGCACGACCTCTTCCCTACTGCTGAGATGCTGACGGGAAATGTCACCTGTGTAGAACCTCTGTGTTGGGCTGCATATGGCAGTGTCCAGCAGGGGTCAAGCCTTCCTTGTCCTCCTTTCCGAAGCCTCCTCAGAGGCTGTGCTTTGAAATCTCTTCAGTCTGCCTCACATTTGGGAATGTGCAATGTCTTGATTTTCTCCAAGATGGTAAACACAGATGATACCGCGTGAACCTGAGACGCAGCAAGGGTCAGAACAGCATCACAGGAAGGATAATGAACCAGAGAGACACAGAAGAGGTGACAGGAGAATTCCAAATCTAAGTAGATTATAAAAAGCTGTCTTGGAAGACATCCAGGAATAGCAACCCCTCACCTTCCATCTGGGCATGGAACCCAGGGTCTTGCTGGGTAACACTCACTGCTGACCTACACCTCCAGCCTAGTGTGGAGTTTGAACTTGATGTTTTGGTACTTTGTACTCTCATGGAACTGTTCCCACAATGCCTTGTGGTAGACACAAGTTGGTATTTATTTTCTCTAGTAAGTTTCTTCAGAGCAGGGGTCAAGTCCTAATCATTTATCAGTATTCAAGTTGAGATTAATGGTATGGGATGCACCTTCAAAAGCATTTGTGGTGGGAGTGAAATGAAGTGTGAGAGAGGAGGAGGGATGTTAGACTGGGAGAATCTGCTTCTGCAGACATCGAGCCTGCCATGTGCCTCCTACAAGGATGTGTCTGGATGCTGTCATTTGGAAAAAAAAAAAACAAAGCAAAACCCGACATTGAACTGGAAGATATTCCTACCTTATCCTTGTCAGTTTGTGGCTTGACTGAAGGATGGTCTGCCCTTTGGGTCTCACTCTCACTTCTGGACTCCGGGCGTGTGGGCTGTGGAGGAGAGAAAGGCAGGGCTATGCTGTAGCTGGTGCTGGGTCCCTGGTTGGAGCTTTTTGAAAGGCTGTAGCTAGTTACTCAGTGTTTGAAACAAGCAGGCTTGGGGAGGGAGGCTTCTCTCTGCCCTGTGAATCCTGGGGCAGCCAGAGCAAATAACACACATTTGCTTGTGGTTGGGGAGTGAGTGACATCTCCCCTTCTTCTTAGCACCCCAGTCTCTGTGAGCTGGTGTTTTCATCCTCCACTACAGGATGGCATCCCCAAGCAAAGGACTTCAAGACCCCAGCGGGCCTCTTCCTGGCTCCCTTTCCTAGCTCTGGAGTAGAGGAGATGGATATAGCTGGTTGCTTGGAGCAGACTGGGCCTCTTCTCAGGAGTCCCAGGGTGGACTGCTGTGGGCTACCCAGCTCTCTTCCTTCTAGCTTGGGAGGTTAGGCATGAGAGACCAAGGGTGTTTAAGGTTGGACGCACTGGTAAGAACTGTTTCAGTGGACCAGCAACGCTAAGCCAGACTGCAGAGGGTGCAGAGCAGCAGGCCAGAAGGAACAGCTGTGACGGCTCTTAGTTTTGCGCTGAGGAGGAAGGAGAGAGCAGCTGGTGCAGAGGGCGGGCTGAGTGGGTTTTACTGTTTTGGTTTTTTCAATGAGAAAATGCTGTTTAGCCAGAGGAAGATCCAAAGCACCTTTAGACACAGAGAAAGCTGCAGTGTCATCTGTAGTGCACCAGAGAGGAGTGACATTTTCTGTAGATACAGCCCCAGAGGAAATCTTATGCGCCTAGGAGAGAGAGAGAGAGAGAGAGAGAGAGAGAGAGAGAGAGAGAGAGAGAGAGAGAGAGAGCGAGCTTCTACTCGAGGGTTCTTTCCAAGGGAAGATATATTCCCCCTTGTAAAGGAGGATGTGTAAAAGGGATCGGCACCACCACTTTTGTTTCTGTTCCAAGAACTACTTGCCGGCTCCAGGAAGCTCCTGAGGTGTTCTCAGGGTTGGCGAGCTCTCTCAGATGCTCGGTGTGGCTTTGACGTGGCTGGTGGTGACGTGGCCTTCTCTGGAGTGATGTAAGTTTCCCTGGAGCCTGTTCTGTGATCTCAAAGCCGAAACATGAGCTTCCTTGCTGATGCTAGTGTTGCACAGGGCTCAGACAGGAAGGGGCAGTCACATGGGAAGCCTGACTATTCCTGTCTGGGTGTTTTATAATGACTGCAGGAGAGCAGTGGACTCCATCCTTCTTCGTCTCACAAAAATCCAAGGAAAGACTTTCAGGAAGCAGAAACAGCCACTCATCAGAGACCCTCAGAAGACACTGGCATGAATTTTTCATGTGTTACAAAAGAAAAAGGGAAAATGACCAGCTTGGCAAAAAATATTATAGAATAGAATGCCTTTGTCTCATTGTTGATGCTAGGTTGGCATGTTTAGATTTAGCTTAGTCCAACTTTGGCAAGAGAGTAAAAAATATTTGTATTAAAAAAAAGTTTTAGCCTTGTAGTTTTGTCTCAGCTAGAATTATAGATAGACCCCTTTCCTGCTCCCCATTTTCTTTTAAGGATCTTATCTTGTTGCCCAGGCTGGCTGTGAATCCCCAGATGAAAGCAATCCTCCTGCCGCGGGTCCCAAGTAGCTGGGACTACAGATGTGTGCCTCAGTGTTGGATTACAGCCCCAACCCTTCAAGGCAATTGATGCACAGTAATTGTGATGGTTCATCAACATCTTCATTGTCTACTTGATGGGATTTGGAATATCCTAGGAAACATGTCTCTGGGCATCTAGGGAGGTCTTTCTAAGAAGGGTGCATCCCACTGGATGTGGGTGACACTACCTCCTGGGCTTAGATTCTGGGCTAAACAGAAGGAAAAAAGGTGAAAGCAAATGAGCTCCAGGACCCGTTTCTTTCTGCTTCCAAACTGTGCACAGTGCACCCAGCCGCCTCACACTCCTGCCGCCGTAACTTTCCTGCCTAGACGGACTATCGCTCAAACCGTGAGCCAGAATGTGCCCTTCCTTTCTGTAGTTGTCTTCCGTCAGACATTTTGTCATGGCCATGAAAATGAACAAATACGGAGGTCCGATGCTGAGGAGTGGGGCCGTTGCTGTGGTCAACCTGGTCATGTGGTCCTTAGGTCAGTGGAACTGGTTTGTAGCAGGGCTACAGAAACATTTGGAGTTGTGGGCTAGAGAAGACCTAGAAATGTGGTATGCAGAGATTAACGTGTCATTCTAATGGAGTGTTGGGGTCCTGCCTGATTTGTCGAAGGGTCCTTGAATGGAGGAGTGAGGATTGAGAAATGATAGCTATGAAATATAGACTTAGATGAAAAAAATGACAGAGACACAGGACAGCTTTGGGAGGGCTCTGGGTCAATACCACAGACACCTGAGTTTATTATTCACAGCCTTTATATACCCAAAATAAAGGGGGCAAAAGACCCCCCCTTTCAAGGTCATCACAGTTCAAGGTACAAAACATCTGGTAACCATTAGGCAAAGCATCCTGTAATGAGGCCTTGAAGTGTAAGACACCTGTAACCACACCTTGAGCCAAACCACCGTATTGTGCAGGCTTGTGTGTAGCAGGGAATACAGGCTCGGACGCTCTGACCTTGAGTCAAGATGAAAACAAACCACAAGCTGGGGTCTCTGTAGGCCCCCACAATGGAGTGGAGCCCCCCAGAATACCAAGAGAAACGCAGGCAGCAAAGACTGATCTGATCATGAGGGGTCACAGGGGAACAGAGACTGTTGGGGACTAGGTCAGAGGCGATAAAAGTTCTATTCCGACAAAGTCTGGCTGAATTCTGCCTACATCTTGAGAAATTGAGTGAGTTTGAATTCAAAAGTAATAAACTAAATTGTTTAGTGTAGGAAATCTCAAGATATAACATTCAGGCAGTGGAATTGTTTTTGCTCAATGAATTTATTGAAGTCGATATGACAATTCAAAGCAGAAAGACTTGAAAAATGTGCAGAGGTGAGGGAGGGAGTGTGAGTGGATTTCAAGTTGCTGGCTAGGGAGCTGCAGACACAGTGAGCCATCAATGCAATTGAGACCATAGGAAATGTGTCTTAAAGGCAAGATCCTGCCTGATGTCTGGTTTGTAAAACTGTGAGACGCAAGATCCTATGTTGTAGTTTGAATGTCAAGTGTCCTCTACAGGCCCCTGTGATTGAACACTCGGTCCCCATTGGTGGAGCTGTTTAGGAAGACTAGGCAACCTTTAGGAGGTGAAGTAGATCACTAGGGCCTTGAGACTATTGCCCGGTCTCACTTCTGAATGTGGATACAGTGTGACCAGAGAGCTTCCCAATCCTGCCACGGTGCTACCTGCCTGCTGCCATGCCTTCCTTCACATGATGGACTGTGTCGCTCTAGAACTCTGAGCCCAAATAAATCCTTTCTCCATTACAGTTTCTTTTTTAGAGTATTTTAATCACAGAAACAGGAAAAAGAAACAAAAAACTGAAGAAAGCTTGAATTGAGAGTTTCTCTGACAGGGAATCCCTGTGGGCATCAGCCTCCTTAGAAAGTGTTTTCCCAGGTTCAGCCACCAAGGTCCACAAAGGCTAAGCAGCTGTGGTAGGAAGTGCCAGACTGCCCTTCAGCCTGGCAGCAGAACTCGGCTGCTGTCCATGTGGAACTGACTTTGAAGACATTTGCAAAATTCAAGACTGACAGGGCACAGTGGCTTTCTACCAAGGGTCTAAAACGTGCTGAAGCCAGGCAGTATCCAGCAGGGTTACAGTCCCTGTGTGGTGTTCCTGAGAGGCCATCATGAGAAGCTGTGAAGGGGAAGTTGCCATGAAGACGCCAAGGTGTTGGAAATGCCAGGACGATGGGGCACCTCCTGAGGAACCTACAGGCCAGAGGAGAGTCAAGAGTCATGTATCCCAGGCACCAAAATCTAAGGGCCTGGTCTAGCCAGTGCTGTTGGAACCCGAATGATGCCACCCAATCTGAGGAGCTGGAATGGAGCTAACGTGTTTTGAGTATTTGCTGTTGGGTTTGTTCTTGCTCTGGTCTGCTTTTCCTTGCCAGCCTTCCATTTCTCCGTTTTGGAATGGGAATATACTCTGGCATTATCTATTGGACTTATATAATTAGTTTTTTATTATATAAGAGCTCACAGTTAAGATACTGCCTTGAGTTGCCAAAGAGACCTTGATCCTTAGGACTTTGAAAATGTTAGAAGTACTAAAGTTTGGAGGACTCTCAAAGATGAAATAAATATGTTTCATTACTGGCAGCCACAAACCTTGGGGGACCAAGAGTGGAATGTTACAGTCGAAAGTGACATGGGAGTATTCAGTTGACGAGCGATGGACCTGAGAGTTTTCATTGGAAATTTGGTTGGCTGTAGCATCACCTTGGAGGCATGCCTCGGGGTGGTGAGATAGGCTTAACCCTGAATGTGGTGCCACCGACTTACGGTGTGGGATCCTGGGCTGAATGAAAAGGAGAATGTGAGGTAAACACCTACACTCAGTTCTTACTGTTTCTGACCGCTAATGCAATGTGACCAGATGCCTCCATATTCCCAACACCATGCCATCTTGCCGTGATGGGTGCAACTTCCAAGTGTAAGACTAAATAGACCCTTCCTTACTTCTGCTGCTGCTTGTCATGTACGTTGTCATAGTAACTAATTAGTAGCGTGACATCCCCCTTCTTGATCTTTTCATGGGGAAATAGTTTTAAAAACACAAAACATCACCATCCTCTAAAAGAAGACCTGGGTCACCCTTCTAGTTAACAATTTCAATTTCAATTTTTTTTCTGATTTTTTAAAAATTGCTTACGTGCTTATAAATATAAAAATCATTCAAAAACTATCTTATTTTTAAATATTGTGCATGTTTAATGTCTTAATCCATTTCAAATGTGTATTTTGAGTAGGTATCTTTTTTTTCCCTCAATAGCGAAATAAATAGTTTTTACCAAAATTTCCACATTTCTTTGAAACGCCATGTTTGGCACATCCAAATCATTACTTAACATCGTGTTAGGACTCCCCAAAGTACCAGGTGAGAATGCTGCCTTGGGTTGTACTTAGGTGAATGAGAGAGGCTGTGATCCTTCAGGATGACTCTAAAGCCTTTGAGGAGGTTTGTGGAGTTGACATGGCCCTTAGAAAACAAGTTCCTGTGGTGGTGAGTTTTTACTTGTCAACTTGCCACAACCTAGAGTCACCTGAGAGGAGAGTCCCCACTGAGGAACTGTCTGGATCAGGTTGGCTTGTGGGCATGTATGGGGCAGGGCAGGGGCAGGGGTAGGGGCGCTGTCTCAATTGTTTATTGATGTAGGAAGATCCCATCCATCGTGGGCAGCACCATTCCCTAGGCGATCAAGCAAGGGCGGCTTCTTCTTTCTGCTCTTGGCTATGGATGTGGTGTGACTAACTGCTTGAGTTCCTGGCTTGACTTCCCCTCCATGCAGGACTCTGACCTGGAATTGTAAGTCGAATAAGCCCTTTCCTCTCCTATGTTGTTTTAGTCAGAGTGTTCATCACATCAACTAACAAAACTAGAGAGATTCATTTTATATGTGGACAGATTCTGCTTACAGCATGGTGTTTAGCACAGATTCGATCCTATACAAGTGCAGGCATTTATAGGAAAACACACTTCAGCCTTCTGAAATGTGATTTGTTCTGAGGAAGGAAGGAAGACCAGGTGGCTGATTACTTCTGATTCTATCTTTTTCCGCCCCAACCTTTTCACTGTGTGTGCGGGATCTCCAATTGCTGAAAGAACAGGGACTGTCACACTAAGCTAAACCCACCTCTGGATTTCCCTTGCTGACACCTCGTACCTGTGCCTGACTGGTTCATGCCTCTAGTTCTTTAGCTTAAGAGTTGGCCTCAAAAAACAAACTGGGGCTTGAGCTTGGAGTCACAGTGACGTCTGAAGCGTGCTTTGTCATGAGAACCACACAGTGGCTCTGTAAACACTGGTCTTGCTACTTTGCCCAGGCTGTCCTTGAGACTCTGGCTCAGTGATCCGAGTAGCTGGGACTACAGGTATATGTCACTGTGCCCAGCAACAGTTCCGCCCCTTTTAAGGTAGACAGCATCAGTTACAAAGTGAACTACTGTAGTTTGTTGTAGTGTTCATGGTGTTGGTAAAGATGTTTGCTCACCATTATTGCAAGTTTGTTTGGGATTGTGTGATGTCCAGAGTGTCTGGAAGAGGCTCCATTGCATATTTAAGAAGTCAAGTGGTCAAGTGAAGGATTCATTCAGGGTAAAGGACTCCCTGAGAAGAAGGGAGACAGATACCAGTGAGCTGGGCTTTGCCCATATTCAGAGGTCCCTCGAGACTCCTTTGGGTTCCCAGCTGGAAACTGAGAGGGAGGTTAAGCGGAAAGGTGGGGGTTCATCCCTGGGGTAAGATCCAGGGGTAATGGGAGGTGAAAGCCATTCATACATATTTCTAAACACACATGGAGGTGACAACTCAGAGGGAAACACTTGCTTAGTTACTGAAGATGTAATTTCCTTTTTACTTTGCAAACATAACACTTTCTTCTTTAGTGTTAGTAAATGTTTTTAAATAATGGTGTAGAACATGGTCTTATTAAAACAGTTCTTATATCTTTGCAGCCCTCTGGATCAGTGCTGGGCACAGGCAAAGGGGACAGGCAGTGTGGGTGTGCACAGGCCATGTGCAAACACTATGCCATTTTATGGATCTCATGCGATGCTAGGGCATCTCCTGATTGTGGCATTTTGGGGGTGGGGCAGTCCTACATCTCACTGAGAATACCTAGGGCTGACTGTATGTAAATCACTCAACACTGAGCCGGGAATCAGTGGGACTTGGCAAAGGCTGGTTTTGTCTTTACCTGCAGAAGGACAGTCACTGGTGTAAATGTCTGTATCCTGTCCCACTCCCACCCATCCTACATGCCATGCACCCTTTCTCCAGGTCCCTGTGGGCACTGATTCTGACCCCAGAATCCCCTAGCACACTTTAGACCTTAAGCTCTGTTTCTGAAGAACTTGGTGGAGCAGGGGGTCAGTGTTAATGCCTGTGTGCTCAGGGATATGTGGAATCTATACTTTTAAATATAAGTGTGTGTGTATGTGTACATGTCATATATCCTTCTAGTCAGTGAATGAGGTCTCATTTATCTATATATTCCCCAGTCCTCACAGTGCCCAGGATCTACAAGTTCCTCAAAATGGTTTGGATAAATTTTAGTTTTGAAAACTATAAAAATGTTAAGTAATTATTTACTTTCTAATCAATTGATTATTTGTGTAACCTGTAAGGTGCTGGGACAGGAGAGGCAGTGGCCCCATCTTAGTTCCATTCCATACAGCAAATACTCAGCAATATGTTGCAACAGAGGCGATCCAGGGTTTGTCACTGCAACAAGACACAGAGAGTACAGGCCATGTGGTTCAGTATGGAGAACGTGAATTAGACTCACAGAAGCAGACAACAGACAATGGTTGCCAACCAGAGGTAGAATACTCAGTACTACAAGATGAGTGAGTTCTAGAGGCCTGCTTTGCAGCCAAGGACCTTTTAGTTAACAGCTCTGTGCTGACAGCTCAGGAGTCTGTTGAGAGGGTAGATCTCATATGAAGTTTTTTACACCAATGAAAATTTGGAAATGGGGAATCTACATCAAGCAAGCAAGCAGCAAGCCAGCAAGCAGCAAGCAGCAAGCAAGCAAGCAGCAAGCAAGCATCAGGCACTATAGCTCCATGATGTTTCAGAGGGCACAGGCCTCAGCACTGGCTTTTTCAGGATGGCAGTGAGGCCTCTCTGGGGCAGTGGGTAGCCCTAAGCTGTGAGATGGGCAAGGAGGGCATATAGCCAGGAAGTGGTCTGAACTCAACTGTTCCAGTCAGAGGGAAGGTTACCCCAAAGTCCTGTAAAGGAAAGGACCACACGCGAGGAACTGAAGGAAAGGATGGAGGCATGGTGTCTACACCACGCGGGCCAGAGTGATAAGGCTTGGGGAACCACTTTCAATGCCAAATTGGGTCTGGCGGTGCATTATCTCAACATTCTTAAGGCTGAGGCAGGGGGATCATAAGTTCAAGGTTAGCCTGGTCTATGTGGGGGAGATTCTGTCTCAAAACTACTGGAAACAGAAATGCCAGAGAAGCTATGGAGGTGGAGGTTGTTAAAGTAGGGAGGGGCCTGATCTGACATCCATTTTTCCAAAGTCAGTCTGACAGACTGTGTGAGAAGTTCTGTGCTTCTCCCAGGAGCTGGCGCTGGGGTGTCTAGTGGGTGCCTGCCCCTTAAGGAGGCCCTCTACAGCAGCTGCCCTGACACTAATTAGGGTTGGGAAGTAGTAACCGGAACTACTGTCTCATTGCTCTGTTTACTCGCATAGGAGTGACTTGACTTATCAACACTCAAGTGAGGCAGTTCACTGACAGTGAACTCTCTAGGGCATGGGCAGCTGCCCTCATGCCGGGGTTTGGACACACAATGGACTCTCTTCTCATAGAAAGCAACCCTATCTCCAGACATCTCAGCAAGCCTGGGTTCCAGCTCCTTCCCTGGCTCGCCTCTCCTTCTTGACCTCTGTTGATGGCCGAGGTAGCCGTCTGCCCTCCCACCTTGGATGTCAGCCATGCTGGGGCATAGAGGCCTGAATGCATGGGCCTGGCTTCCTTCCTGAGCTGCCAAGAAGCCCATTTCCTTCTGATTTGCCCTCAATCTTTGCCTGATGTCTGGCGTCAGGAGCAGAGTCCCTTCCTAGCTCCCATCACGGTCAGGGACTGCATTTCTGGCCCCAGGCTCAGATACTCTAAATGTCTTGGAATGCGTTTCATTCCTTGGTTGGATGGAAGGACCTTGGTCATGGCCCACATGTCAGCAATTTTGGTTCTTAGCCGATGCCATGATCCGTTGCTCACTCCACCCCTGCCGCTGTTGCTTTTGAGGAAAGCATTGCTAGAGCTTTGTTTTGGTTTTATCTTTATGACTGTACTATATTTGGATTAGAAAAATATAGATTAAAAGTAATATAAACCAAAAGAAACTTCTTACACTCAGAGAGTTGACATCCACACTTGAGACTCCCGCATGCAATTCTACAAGTAGCCGCTGCTGCAGATAAAGGTGTCCGCTAATAAGTTAAAAATAGTTCCTGCTGCATTAATGGAAGTCCCTGCAATACAGAGGTGCTTCTTAAGTGCGAAAGCTCTTAGCAGGTGGGGCTGTAAGATCCCCGGCTCCCAGCAGGTGGCTTGTTCACTGGATGGGTCATTTGCTGAGTGCTGTCTGTGTCACCTGCTTTTGAATTGCCTTCCTATGTCTGAGGCTCTTTTTGTCTTCTCAGGGTCATAAGGTAAGGCAGAGGCCAGACACATCCTGTCTTTCTGCACACCACAGATCTTAGAGCCCCAAGCTTGAGATTTAGATTCTGAACAGCCATGTGTGGGTGGAGGTGGGACCCAGTGTGTAGCTCGAGTGGCAAGAGTGATACCCACTTTATTAAGAGAGAGAGGTGCTGGGCTGGAGCCCCACATCCAGCCCCTGTGGTAGGGACCCACTGGCTCCGAGCCCAGTTTCAGTCCTGCAGGGGCACCATTGAGCTGTGGTGGGGTCAGTTGTGAACAGTGCCTGACTGCATCGCCTCCTAGCTCTCTGTGAGGTACACAAGCTACTGGGGCTTCCTTAATGAGCTCCTTTTGAAGTTTCACTGGAGTACATTCTATTATTTATAACAAAGATAACTAAGAGAGTTGCTTACCTGATGGGCAGGGGAGATGGTGTGCTCAGCAGGGGGAGCACGTGATCTTCGGCAGGCTTTGCCCGTCAGCTGCATCGATTCCACACGCCAGAATTAAACCAAATTGCAGCTATTTTTTGCATCAGCACAAGAAACTTCCTGTGAGATGGAAAGGGCATGAGGCTAGGCACGGAAGCCTTGGGCTCGGGGCTGCCTGACATCCCTTCGCTGCAGTGATTTTTGTTGCAAGTCACTTTTACTTGGGCCTGAATTTTCTTATTTGAGAAATGAGAGAATCCCATCAGATAAACTGTAAGCTCCCTTCTGATCAGCCTCTGGTGAGCAGTGCTGGTGTGCCTAATATTAGCATCTGTCCAGATTGGTGCCAGCCAGTACGCTGGCGTTAATCTCTCATGGCTGTTTAAATTCAGGTTCATTACAATTCAGTAATGTTACCATGATATTGTGATAGAATATGGAATAGATATTTGGTTTCTGGCCCTGGTTCCTATCACAGAGCCCTTAAAGTCTTTGCAGATATGGACACCAGGAGGATCTTTGTTCTGAGGTTTTTGTCTTTGAGCTCAGTCCCTACATGGACCTGCTAAGACCTCTGTATCTCCCTGAGCACTAGGAGTAGGACTCAGCTCCCGAATCCCTTAGAATTTCTGGCAGATAGAAGCTTCTCTCATTCTAATGAGGCAAAGCTTAATAGACCCACAGGCAGCCTCAGGATGGGGACCGGTTGCCAGGGGAACCAGCCATTAGGGTTAGGCCATTCAGCCTGATCTTTTCACCTCCACCCCCAAGTCAGGCAAGAAGAAAACTTTGTTGTTCATGGCAGCTGTGACCCTTGCATGAAAGCCCAAAAGAAGAGGGTCCGGGGGCTTTCCATGTGGAGATGATAAGACTGGGCACTGGGAGGGGGTCCCTGGAAGGTGAGGTACCCAGAAAAGGCTTAGCAGTTCCCAGCTCCTCCTACTGTGATTTGTCTGTGGAGCCCTTCCTGCTAGCCTTACAGTGAACCAGTCAACATAGGTAAGCACTTCCCTGCTTCTGAGTCATCTTGGAAAATCAACCGAGACATCTGTGGGCATCTTGGGAATTGTCAGCCTTTAGCTGGTCACTCAGAATCACCAGTAAAACAGGCAGCAGCTTGTCTGTGGCCCCTGAGGTGGGGACTGCCCTGTGGGACCAAGCCCCAAGGCTGTGGATACTCACTACCTCCAGATGTCTAGTTTCAGAACTGAATTAGAGTCTGGGTCCTGGAGAGTCAGTTGCCTGGTGTCAGGGTGGACCTTCTCCACATCTGGTCACAGATGGAGTCTGAGGTGATGGTTCTTAGTAGGACAAGCTCAGCAGCTCAGGTGTGAAGCTGCGTTTTCAGTGCTCAGTAGCCACAGCAGCTACTGCCTATCCTGTTGGACGGTAGATAAGAAGCATGTGTGGTCACTGCTGATGCTCTCAGGCTCAGGTGACAAAGCGGGCTTCTGCTCCCCTCAGATATGCTGAGGTTCAGATCCTGAGCAACCACTGGAGAGTCACTCAGCTTGCCCCGTACAGACACTCCCATCCTCCTCACACCCTAATCTCATTCTTCTCCCTCTCAGCAACTGTGGCTCATCAAACACACACCAAAGCTGCACCTTGGGATTATTCTAGAAATTTCTTTCCATTTTATATAGTTACTTTTCTTGTTGCTGTGACAAAATGTTCCACAAAAGCAGCATAAGAGAGAAAGGCTGATTTTGGCTTGAAGTGTGAGGAGATATAGTCCACCCTGGCAGGGCAAATTGTGGCTGCAGCAGCTAGAGATGGTTGTCACGCGTCACTGTGTATTCACAGTCAGGAAGCAGAGAGTGGTGAATGCTGTCGTTCAGCTCACTCTCTCCCTCTTTTTAGTCCAGATCCCAGTCTAGGGAATGGTGTGGCCCATAGTGAGGGTTTTTCCCCCCTCCATTAACCCAGTCCAGAAATTATCTCATAGACATGTCCCAAAGTTTGTCTCCTGGGTGAGTCTAGGTCATGCCAAGGTGACAATCAGTGTTAACAGTCACAGACCCATTTTATCTGTAACTGAGTCATTTCTCCTATTAAATGTTGTTCGTATCCACCTGTTTTCTTCATTCTGTTGGGAACACCTAACCAGCTGGGAAGAGCAAAGGGCACTGTACATTCAACCACATCAGCGGGATCCCTGTGATTCAGAAGAGTCCTGAGATCCACGAGGGTGTCCCAGGGACCTGACTCTGACCCAGGAATGAAGAGACATGCAGCTTTGATGTGACCAGCATGGGGGCGGGGCCTGCAATAGGTGCCCAAGTGCTCATGGGAACCTTACCCAGAATTGGGTCTACTGGAGCCATCTGGCAGAATAATTATCTCACAGTCCAGCTGCTGCCCATCCTCACCCAGATGTTCTGTGAGCTTATGCTCTTTATTCCTCCCCCTCCTTTTTTTTTTTTTTTTGCTTTTTGTTGGCCAGAGTAGATTCTGTTGCCTTTAACTAAAAGCTCCCGGATAATATGTGACTGTAAATATGCACATGAGGTAGTGCAGTACGTCACTGTGCTCTCCCAGCTGCTCAGTGCTGAAGGGGACTGCATGGTCTCTGTTATATTGCAAGGCAAACTTGGATAAACTCCAGCTATGGAGAATTGCATGCAAACTATGATAGTCTTTATAACAGATGGGCAAATTACTCACCAACGCAGCTTTGTCCAGAGCCCAAGGAAAAACAGTAACAATTCTCATAATAGTGTGAACACAATTGAAAAGTTATAGTACTAGGAAATAAGTATTTTAGTAAGTGCCAGCATTTGCCTTTAATGGTGCAGGTAAGTTGACAAAAGGGAGCTGTGTGTGTGTGTGTGTGTGTGTGTGTGTGTGTGTGTGTGTGTGTGAAGACTTTTCAAGATGGGGATGGGGGAGCACACTAGCAGTTTGCCTGAGCTTGAGTGATGACCACAGTGGATGAATCCTTGCTTTGTGTTATATTCACACCAGGGTTTGGGAGGATGGTGTTCACACTGGGGTCTCGGAGGATGGTGTTCACACTGGGGTCTGGGAGGACAGTTTTCATACTGGGGTCTAGGAGGATGGTGTTCACACTGGGGTCTCGGAGGATGGTGTTCACACTGGGGTCTCGGAGGATGGTGTTCACACTGGGGTCTGGGAGGACAGTTTTCATACTGGGGTCTGGGAGGACAGTGTTCACACTGGGGTCTCGGAGGATGGTGTTCACACTGGGGTCTGGGAGGATGGTGTTCACACTGGGGTCTGGGAGAATGATTCTCACACTAGGGTCTGGGAGGACAGTGTTCACACTGGGGTCTGGGAGGACAGTGTTCACACTGGGGTCTGGGAGGACAGTGTTCACACTGGGGTCTGGGAGAATGATTCTCACACTGGGGTCTGGGAGAATGATTCTCACACTAGGGTCTGGGAGGACAGTGTTCACACTGGGGTCTGGGAGGACAGTGTTCACACTGGGGTCTGGGAGGACAGTGTTCACACTGGGGTCTGGGAGGATGGTGTTCACACTGGGGTCTGGGAGGACAGTGTTTATACTGGGGTCTGGGAGGACAGTGTTCACACTGGGGTCTGGGAGAATGATTCTCACACTGGGGTCTGGGAGGACAGTGTTTATACTGGGGTCTGGGAGGATGGTGTTCACACTGGGGTCTGGGAGGATGGTGTTCACACTGGGGTCTGGGAGGACAGTGTTCACACTGGGGTCTGGGAGGACGGTGTTCACACTGGGGTCTGGGAGGACGGTGTTCACACTGGGGTCTGGGAGGACGGTGTTCACACTGGGGTCTGGGAGGATGGTGTTCACACTGGGGTCTGGGAGGATGGTGTTCACACTGGGGTCTGGGAGGACAGTGTTCACACTGGGGTCTGGGAGAATGATTCTCACACTGGGGTCTGGGAGGATGGTGTTCACACTGGGGTCTGGGAGGATGGTGTTCACACTAGGGTCTGGGAGGATGGTGTTCACACTAGGGTCTGGGAGGATGGTGTTCACACTAGGGTCTGGGAGGATGGTGTTCACACTGGGGTCTGGGAGGATGGTGTTCACACTGGGGTCTGGGAGGATGGTGTTCACACTGGGGTCTGGGAGGATGGTGTTCACACTGGGGTCTGGGAGGATGGTGTTCACACTGGGGTCTGGGAGAATGATTCTCACACTAGGGTCTGGGAGGACAGTGTTCACACTGGGGTCTGGGAGGACAGTGTTCACACTGGGGTCTGGGAGGACAGTGTTCACACTGGGGTCTGGGAGAATGATTCTCACACTGGGGTCTGGGAGAATGATTCTCACACTAGGGTCTGGGAGGACAGTGTTCACACTGGGGTCTGGGAGGACAGTGTTCACACTGGGGTCTGGGAGGATGGTGTTCACACTGGGGTCTCAGAGGATGGTGTTCACACTGGGGTCTGGGAGGACAGTGTTTATACTGGGGTCTGGGAGGACAGTGTTCACACTGGGGTCTGGGAGAATGATTCTCACACTGGGGTCTGGGAGGACAGTGTTTATACTGGGGTCTGGGAGGATGGTGTTCACACTGGGGTCTGGGAGGACGGTGTTCACACTGGGGTCTGGGAGGACAGTGTTCACACTGGGGTCTGGGAGGATGGTGTTCACACTGGGGTCTGGGAGGACGGTGTTCACACTGGGGTCTGGGAGGACAGTGTTCACACTGGGGTCTGGGAGGATGGTGTTCACACTGGGGTCTGGGAGGATGGTGTTCACACTGGGGTCTGGGAGGACAGTGTTCACACTGGGGTCTGGGAGAATGATTCTCACACTGGGGTCTGGGAGGATGGTGTTCACACTGGGGTCTGGGAGGATGGTGTTCACACTAGGGTCTGGGAGGATGGTGTTCACACTAGGGTCTGGGAGGATGGTGTTCACACTAGGGTCTGGGAGGATGGTGTTCACACTGGGGTCTGGGAGGATGGTGTTCACACTGGGGTCTGGGAGGATGGTGTTCACACTGGGGCCTGGGAGGATGGTGTTCACACTAGGGTCTGGGAGGATGGTGTTCACACTAGGGTCTGGGAGGATGGTGTTCACACTGGGGTCTGGGAGGATGGTGTTCACACTGGGGTCTGTGAGGACAGTGTTCACACTAGGGTCTGGGAGGACAGTGTTCACACTGGGGTCTGGGAGGACAGTGTTCACACTAGGGTCTGGGAGGACAGTGTTCACACTGGGGTCTGGGAGGATGGTGTTCACACTAGGGTCTGGGAGGATGGTGTTCACACTGGGGTCTGGGAGGACAATGTTTGTACCAGATCGTGGGAGGATGGTCTTTATACTGGGGTGTGGGAGGACAGTAATTCCTGGGATTCTTACACAAGCATCTACCTCTGCTGGGCCAGCAGACAACAGGCAATGGATTTCTGTCATCTAGCACACTCCAGGAGTGAACTTTGGCATCAGAGGCTTTTATGGAACAGTGTGTTAATGTACCAGAGAAG